GGAGCTGAGGGGTAGAAGTGGAAGTCAGAACCACGAGCCACAGGAAGGCCCATGGAAAGGTAGTGGCCAGAGCCCATGTCCCCAGGGGCTGCTGGGGGACTGTGTGGCCCTTGGGCTGGATGGTGCAGAGCACAGTGTCTGTGTGTGTTGTCTCAGAAAGCTCTGGGGGACACGCTTGCTCAGAGCTGGTGGCTCTCGACGGTGGGTGGTGCGGCTTCTACCAGACACTCGGCCACGTCTGCAGATTCTGTGGCTGTTGAAATGGGGGGGGTCAGGGGGTAATGCTGCTGATGGGTGGGGAGGCTGTTCAACACCCTGCCGTGCTCAGGACACCCCAGATTGTCAGCGTGTGAGGCTGAGACACCCTGACCCAACAGAGATATTCATTCCCTCTCTGTCTCTTGAATACATATGTATCTCTATCTTATCTGTACATCTGTTATCCATCTTCTACCCATTCATCTATTTATATAAACTATCAATAATTTATCTGTCTACCTATCCATCCATCCATCTATCCATCTACCATGCATCCATCATCCATCATCCATCCATCCATCCATCTGCCATGGTGCTTCTCAAAAAAGAGTGCTTCTCTCCACCAGGAAGTCTTGGCAACCTCTGCAAACATTTCTTGTTACCACATGAAGGATGCTACCCCCATGTCGTGGGTAGAGACCCAAGGTGCATCGGCACCCCCCACCCCAGACCCCCGTCCAGACGCAGAGGTCCCCTGTGCTGAGCTTGAAAAACCCTGGTTGAAAGGGCAACCATTTGGGGGACACCTTGATGTCATTCTGTCCCATCTTGGATGGCTGTGGGGTTAACCCGGCTGGCGTGCACTCTGAACAGGTGACATCCAGCCCTTGCTCTTCTGGGTGGAAACTCCCCAGTGTGCTGTCCCCAGCCACAGACATCCCTCCGATGGCAGCACCAGGCGTGTGCCAGGAATGCCAGGAATTTCCCTCCCACAACATCCCTCCGTGCTGGGTGTCGAAGGCGGGGTGGCTTCCTGCACGGCTCTGTCCTGTGGCGAATATTTATTTTACATCTCTCCTGGCAGAGAGGATAGCTTTGTCAATAATGTGCAAAAAAAAAAAAAAAAAGAGAGAGAGAGAGAGAGAGAGAAGTGGAGCTCCTAAAATACCTGCTGTGTTTTTATCTCTCCGAGTCAGGCTGTGCCAAGTTGAATGTCGCTGGATTCAACCAAATTTCCAGGGAGTTGCTAGTGTGCGTGTGTTTTCTTAGGCTGTCTAGACAAGTGAACTCAGAGGACTGCCCCCCACCCTGTGCTGAGCTGAGTGGGTTCCGTTTATTCAGCTGATCTTTGCCTAAACAGTCCAAGTTTTCAAAAGAACTGTCGTAACGCTACCCGAAGCACCCCTCCTTTTTTTGGCACACTTTGATTATTGACATATCACCCATATACTGTAAGATTTCGTCTTTTCATGCCTACAGATCTGTGGTTTCCAGTTTAATCAGAGAATGAGCCCACACTTAAAAATAAATTTTAAAGGCCTTTCTCCCCATAAAACAGGGGCTCGACTATCCTCCGTACGTGTAGCAACAGTTTCAAAAATCACCTTGCGAACAAAGAAGACCTGAGGGGTTTGAACCTTTGCGATGCTGCACATTGTGGTTTGGGGCCCCTTTTGAGATTTTCCTGTGAGGGTGGAAACTCCAAAAAAAGAGTCAGTGTGACCATGATAAATCTGTGCATCGTGACACTCATTATTCTGCAGTAATTTTGTAATCTAATCATGTCACTTACAGGATCAGTTTTTACCTTCCGTTTTACTGTTATGTAGAGGAAAAACTTCCGCAGTTTATGAATAAAAAAATTAAGACTATGTACTGTGGCGTACATGTCATCCCCGCCACAGAATACGTCCAGTGAACACGCATCACCTGACATGGTAATGCATTTCCTCCCGGGACGGGAACTTTCTTCTTTTCTTTCTTTTTTTTATTTTTACTGTTGTTCGAGTACAGTTGTCTGCATTTCCCCCTTACCACTCCCCGCCCGGGATGAGAACTTATAACACGTGTCCTGTCAGCAACTTCCAAACACATGATACAGTCCGTGACTTTCCCCTTGTACGTTCTAGCCTAAAAACTCAAGTCATCGTATGGGTGGAAGTTGGGTTTTTTTTTTTTTTACCTTCTTTACCCATTCCCCGCCCCCTGCCTCCGGCCACCACGGCTCTCTGGTGTGTATCCATGAGTTCATTATTTTTAGGTCACACCTAGAAGGGACATTGTATGACATTTGTCTTTCTCTGTCTGACGTACTCCGTTCACCGCAATACCCTCTCGGTCTGTCCGGGTCATTGCTAATGCCAGGTTTCCTCCTGTTTTGTGGCCAAGTTGTAGCCCACCGTGTGTCTTGGGCAGATGTAGCCATACGATTACTCTTAACCTGGTGCAAAGCTACAAAAAACTGGCTTTTTCCACCTTCTCATGGGAGATGCTGAGGGGCAGGGATGCGTGTGAGGCAGAGGCAACGCCAACAGGAAGTGATCTCTTCACTTTCCCTGTTGCCACGGCGATCATGACTCGCTCCCAGTACCACCGGCTGTCTTTGGCTTCGCCACTCATGCACACATCTCCTTCAAACTGAAAGCACACTGGGCTTGTCCACCTGGATGCAGGTGGTGTCCCTGTGTGGGCTGACCATCTGCTTGTGGCTCAGGGGTCTCCCCACATCCCTCCAGGGTGACTGAGGCCTGAGGTTCGGGGCTGAGAAATTTGAATCCTGTGTGACCATAACTCACAGCTCAGAGACAGCTTAAAAGACGTGGCAGGCAAAACCACGAAAAAATCAGTTGAGTCATAGTTATGTTATGGTTCTCATGGGCATAGACACCTCTCAGCGGGGAACCAATCAAATCCAAGTGCTCAGAAGGCAGAATATTGTCTAGTCAACACCAGCAAAGAAGGGGTGACTCCCATCACAGGGGCAATAAAACGAGATAATAAAGGGAAAAACAAGCAGGGGCAGAAACGAAGGACCAAGACACACAATCTTCTCCTCGTTACTAGCATCTTAGAATGTGGCAAGACTATGATAGCTGGCGTAGTGGTCGTCCTCTGTTTGGGGGCCATGCACCGTAGGGACCCCAAAAGAGTTCATTCCTTCACCTAAGGTCACAGATTAAACCCTGAAGGGAAACCTTGGCCAAAGCAGCGTGTTGGCAGCTGAACGCACTTTACTTAATAATAGAAACATCCCCATCAGCACCAGTGCCCCTAAACTGCATCCGTTCACTCTTTCCGGAGCCCTCTGCCCGGCTGTTTTGATCCTGTACCACCGTCTTCTCTCCGCACGACGCCAGCTTCCTCTCTCACACAGTTCTGGGGTCGCTTCCGAGTGGTCTTTTCGTGAGGACACACGTTGAAAACGAGTTACTCATCACTTGCCGTTCCTTACACAAACACTCCTTGCCTTTGGTAGACCGCTTTCTGCTTCGGCTGGAATAAAATATTCATGATGGAAATTTTGCTCGGAAGCCAAGGTTCCATACGCTCCCCGCCCCCCACTCCCCGGTCCCACCCCACCCTCCTCCTTCCATCCCCCAGTGGTTGTATTTGGTCTCTCGGGGACCTCAATTTATAGAAAATGCTGGAAAACTGCATTGCTTGAGGAGGACTTCTTGGCTCTTCTTTGCTGGTTACCCTGTGCCCCTCCCAACGCTACCCAAGAAAGAAAGGGGATGCATCGTCCAATTGTTGTGTGGTTGCCTTGGAGGGCTTCTTTCTTTTCAAGCCACCGTTAGGTTTCTCCTTCCTCCTTTCTTACGTACGCCCTTGACGGACGTTTTCCCAGCCAGGGAGCTCCGTTAGCCAACAGAGCTATATCTCTGTGCTTCGGAAGAAGATTTTCTTGGCGCTATCCCTTTTGGCCGATGTGGACGGAAAAGACTGCCACCGTTGGTGAGCACCCCGAGGGCGGAAGCACGCAGACAGATTTCCATTTTTCTTCCCCCGCGTTGCGTCTTGCCCGGACTTGGGTGGCATCCCCTTTGCACTCTTAATGTTATCGTTGCACAAGGGATCACCAGGCACCGGGACGGTAGAAGGTGTGCACCATACCCCACGTTGAGGCTCAGAGGACAAGAAAGAGAGGACATGAAGGAGACAGAGCAGGACAGAAGTACGGGGAAGAGACAGAACCGGGGTACTGGAGTACCCAAGAGGGGGTTTGGTGTCCTTTCCTATTTGCAGGGGTTGCCGTTTTTGATTCTGCTGCCTTTCCATGACCCTCTGTATTCATTTCTTACCATGCCTGGCAAACTGGAAGATGAGGCCCCGCGTGGGCTTGTTAGCAAGCTGTCGTGCGTTAAAGGGGCTCCATCGTGCAGACGGCCATGCGTCTGCACACGTCCTGTGTGTATCCCGAAAGCCCGAAACAAAACACACACTTGCAACGAGACTGCACTCAGGGAGGGGCACACACAATTCACTATACAAACATTGCATGATAGAAGTGTCTACCTGAGACCTGGTATTAGGGACCACTCTGTCCACCCCCGTGCCCCCCGGAACAGCAGCATTGTGTCCGGGACGACTTGTGCACCATCGGCAGCGCACGGGAGGATTCTGTGGGCTGCGGTCTGTCTCACAACCTACCTAGTGTTACTAACCAACGTGTCCCCAATAAATTCCATCCAAACGACATTTTTAAAGCAACACGTTGAAGACACGCAGGTGCCCTCCTTTTCCACGCTGCCTCTCAAAGTACATGTGCGCACGTGCCTGGGAGTGTGTTTCCCGAGATGACTCATGTGCAGAAATGACGTCCAGCATCCCTCCAATGAAAGGACGTCTCAGAGGCAAGTGACCCTCTGTGCCGAGGCGTGTTGGCCATGTGTGCCCACTGTGGAAAATTCTAGACTAAAGTGCCTCAGCACACTGTGTTGCCGGCGCCTTAGACAGCACGCAGTGCCCCCTCACCGTCCCACGTAGGTGCCAATACAGCCTCGTCTCTTGTCCTCCTGCAGGCACGGGGACGTTCGGACGAGTGCAGCTAGTCCGGCTGAAGACGGCCAAGCGTTTCTTTGCCCTGAAGGTCATGAGCATCCCCGAGGTGATCCGTCTGAAGCAGGAGCAGCATGTGCAGAACGAGAAGTCGGTGCTGAAGGAGGTCAACCACCCCTTCCTGGTCAAGCTGTGAGTCCGTGCACAGGGGCCGTGTGCCCAGCTCCTTCTCTCCGTGAGGGTCCTCCTGGGGTCTTTTCCTTTGTTTTCTTCCTCGCTGGGACCCCAGGCAGGGGGTGGAGTGAGGTCGTGGCTGGAGGATGTGGGACTGAGCCAGCCCGCCAACCCAGACTGTGTCATTTCTGAGTTTGCAATGGCTTTGGATCTTGCAGACGTGGTCCCACCAAGGATGCTGACTGCAGGGTGGTCCAGGCCACAGACAAAGGTGCCGGTTCCCAAAACGCTCTGTCCCATCAGGGCCTGCTGTCCCAGCTCCAGGGACAGCGGGTGTTCCAGGGACCTTGGCCACCTTGTCACATTCATTCATTCCCTCACGTCTTTCCTTGGGTCCGCGATGAGGTCCCACGAAACCCACTCCCCAGGGGAACTGAACGGAGACAGAAATCTTTCCCTGCGCCACCTGCTACTCAGGGGAAGACCCCTGCCCACTCAGCTGTCAGACATCCACACCCCCGGAGCTGGCCATCTGACCCCCTCCCTGGGCAGCTCTGTCCACTGCCCCCCTCCTCCCTCTCTGGCCTTCCTGTTGCTCCTTCTCAGGCCCAGTGGCGTAGCTGGGGCGCCCCCCCACCCTGATTTAGGGCTGGCATCACCCCCTCCCTTTCTTATCCCCACCCCGAACCTCGCTTTCCACCAAAGCGTTTTTCATTTTATAGCCGTGGTGGTTCTTTTCCCACCTGCGTCTCCAACAACCTGCGTCTCTGCAAAGAAATCTGTGTGGAGTGTCCAGGGTGCCCTGAAGGGAGCCCCAGGGGCTTAGGATCCTGGAAAGAGTTCCTGTTCCTTTATCTCTGTGTTTCCCTTCCTACGCCCCTGCGTCCACTGAATGGCAGGAGGGCGTGGGAGCGTGTCTCATGCACCCGTGTGTACGGGGGCAGGTATTGCGCACCCTGATCTCCACACACGTGGCACGCACCGCAGCACAGGGGCACCTCCGAACCCAAGCTCCCCCACACACCCTCCTCCAAGCCTGAAAGAGGGGCTCACACAGACTTGTCTCGGTGGCATGGGGCATGATGGGGGAGGAGAAGCGGGGACTTTTTGTTTTATCTTTCTCTGCACCCCTGTCTGCTAAGTCTCGGTGTGCACTCAGGCAGGGGTCAGGGCGGCCAGAAGGAACTGGTGTCATGGGTGTTCCTGGGAAAGGAACAAGAGCTCGTGGTGGGTCTTCCAGGAACTGAAATAGGGATTCTAGTGGGGAAGACGTCAGTAGGCTGGGGTTTTCAGGAACTCTTGTCTGCAGAGACATGGTCTGGGTTATAACAGCCCCCCAACTGTCACCATCTATGTCAGGGCCAGCTGTCACCCAACACGGGACTCCTCAAACCACACACGGCGTGAGTTCCCCGAGGTGATTTCTAGCTGCCGTTCCGAGGAACAGCATGTGCAGGATGCCAGGCCCCCGGTTGGTCCCCAGACACCATGAGGCAAGAGTTGTAACACATTGGCGGTGACGCTGGGTGACGTTAGGAGAAGCGGAAGGAAGAGCAAGAGGGATTCCCTGGAAAGCAAGAAGCCTCCGGCATTGCTCTTGAGAAGCAACGAGTATTGGGAAGACGGAGGAAGCTGGGGGCAGGCGGTCCCTCCAGGACCCGCAGTGGGTGCTGGGGACCCCCTGGCTGTATCTGGTTCACGTCCGTTCTGCAGTGCAGACCCTTCCCCGGGTATGGTGAGGGGGCATGGTAGGGTGTCCATGGAATGTTGGGGAGAAGGCCTCCAAATCTGGGAGTTCTATTTTGTTGCAAGTGAAATGCTGCCCTCCCCAAAAAGGTGTGTCCAGGATCCTACGTATTTCGTCCTCCCCATCTTGCTGGCTGTGGTGGGCAGGGCTGGCCTCTCTCCTGGGCAGGTGGACGGCCGTCTTCCCCCTGTGTCCTCACACAGGTGTCCCTCTGGGTGTGTCTGTATCCCCATCTCCTCTTTGTCTAAGGATCCCAGTCCTATGGGATCCGGGCCACCCTAGTGACCTCAGTGTACCTTCATCCCCTCTTCAAAGACCCACCTGCAAATGCAGGACCCCTTTCTGAGGTCCTGGGGGTCAGGGCTTCAACCCGTGAAACTGGGAGCTTAGTTCCACCTGTAACCGTTACTTACAGACTTTGCTGAGGGGATGTTTCTCCGCGCATGTCCGCGCAGGGGTCTTGTTACTATTCACTTCAGCATGTAGTGGGTTTTGTGGGGTTTTTTCTTGTGCAGTACACTTCACAGACCAGGTGTGTTTAAAACTGGCGTGCAACTTGACCTGCAGTGACCAGGGCTCCCTGGACGTGCCTAGCACGCCAGAGCATGTTGTATCTGGCCAGCCCTGCCCCGTAGCCGGGACCTGGAAGGAGTCCAGGGCCTCGGGACAAGGGACGTGTGTTGGTGGAAAAACACCATGAGTGAAGAATGCCTTTCAATCATCCCCTGCCTCTTCTCTTGTAAATGTTGGGTTCCCTGCCCTCCCCCTCCGACATCTGCTCTCCGTGCTGTTTCCGGAAACACGGAGCACGTTCTTTCCGCATTTCGCCAAACTGCAACGCCCCACTGAGGGTGCCAGCCAGCGCACTGTTCAGAGTGTGGAGTTCCCCTGGAACAGCCGGGGAAGTCACTGAGGCCCCGATCAAAGATCAGTCTGCAAGCCGCTACTGGTTCTGTGTTTGGAAAGGTGCCCGGGCACCCGTTCAAGGTGCAGGAAGGAACATGCTCTGTTCTGGGAGGGAGCCGCTCCCCAAGGCCAGCCCAGCCACGGCCGAGATAACTTGAGAAGGGCCCCCAGGCACTCACCGTCCCGGGTTCAGAGGGGGCGTGGCAAAGCCAAACTGTCCAGGGACCAAGGCTTGCAGTCTTCTGGCAAACCTACATCCCTCCTCGCCCTCGCTGCCTTTACAGAGGGCCAGCGTCTTAGAGGTGTTTGGGCCTGGGCCCTCTTGACAGCTGGGGACAGATAATTCTCTGGGGGAGGGGCTGTTCTGTTTGGTGTGGGGTGTGGAGCGGCATCCATCCCTGGTCTCTCCCCACGTGGTGCCAGCAACACAGCCTCTGCAACAGCAACAAGTAAAAGTGTCTCTGATGTTGTTGGAAATACTGCCATCAGGGACCTTGTCCTTGATTACAGACCCCTGTGTGGATGGATGGTGGATGGATGGGTGGATGGATGGAGGGTGGATGGGTGGATGGATGGATGGGTGGATGGGTGGATGGATAGATGGGTGGATGGAGGATGGATGAGGAGGAGGAAGAGGGTGGGAGGAGGAGGGAGATAGATGGGTGGATGGATGGATGGATGGATGGATGGATGGATGGATGGATGGATCAGTGTATGGTTGGTTGCATGGATGGATGGATGGATGAGTGTATGGTTGGTTGCATGGATGGATGGATGGATGGATGGATGGATGGATGGTAGATGGATGGGTGGATGGATGGATGGATGGATGGATAGATGGATAGGTGAATGGATGGGTGGGTGGATGGATGGATGGATAGATGGATGGATAGGTGGGTAATGGGTGGATGGATGGGTGGATGGATGGATGGATGGTGGATGGATAGATAATTAATACCTACATAGCTGATAGATGATAAATAATTGAATGATGCATCTATTGACAGAGAGACAGAGACCAAGAGGCAGAGAGAGACAAAAAGAGTCTCTCATGCTAATAAAACCAGGTTTCTCAAACGCAGCGCCACCAACACTTGAAGCCAGGTGACAGTTTGCGGTGGGGCATCCTCCGCCCCACTGAGCAGCCTCCCCGGCCTCTGTACTTACACCCAGTAGGGCCTCCTGTGCTGGGTGTCACGGCCAGAAACGTTCCAGCACCCGACAGTGAGCGCTACGTCCGAAACACGCCTCTCTTTTCTGTTATACATGGGATCAACCTTCTCATTCTCTCTTCGCCTTTGCAGTTTGTTTTTTAGTGACATTGGTTAGTACAATGGCACATGTCTCAGGCATTCAGTTGTATGACCCATCGCCTGTATATCTTGTTGTGTGTTCACCACCCCAAGTCCAGTCTCCTTCCATCACCATCTGTCCCCCTTCACCCTCCTCTGCCTCCCCACTGCCCTCTCTTGTGGTCATCACCACACCCTTGTCTGGGTCCATGAGTATTGGTTGTTTTTTGTTTTTCTTTTTGTTTTTTGCTTAATCACCCAGCCCCCGACCCCCTCCTCTCTGACAACTGTCAGTCCATGAGTCTGTCTCTATTTTGCTTTTGTACTTCACGTTCTTCATTAGATTTCACACAGGGGTGACCTCATATGGTATTGCCTTGCTCTCTCTGGCTGATGTTTAAGGTTTGGACGCAGCCCAAGCGTCCATCAGCGGAGGAGTGGATGCAAAAGCCCAAGCAATACGGCACAGCTGCAAAGAAGAAAGAAATCTTACCCTTTGCATGGAGGGACCTGGACAGCATGATGCTGAGGGAAAGGCACTTTTTACTTGTTGATAGTCTGGGCGCCGTGCGCAATAATGAGGATCGTCTGGCCCACGGATTCCCGGCTCACGTTCAACCCTGTAACGTTCTGAACTCGGGTTTTAATTCCTTCGTGGCTGCACAGACTGTCTTCCATCAGCTCACAAGCCCCAAGTGACACCGTAATCTTTGTAGACGTCCCAGGAAGGGTGATATTAGTCTCGCTTTGAATGCCCTGGTTCCGATCATTAGTAATACCTGACTTTTCCTAAGTGCTCGGCATAAAAGAAAAGTCTTATTTTTGGAGATCGGAAGGAAGGGTGTGCCCGAGGACTATTTTTCCCCCCCTTTCTCATGCTATTTCTTTGACATCAGTGATTTGGAGAAAGGCGAAGGCATCGGAATGGGGGCTCTCAGGGAAATTTTTCTTTTCATAGCCATTGTGGGTTTTTTTTTACTGAATATGGAGAATCTTTATATGGAATCTATTATGGGTCAAGGATGCTGATAACTGATGGCCGATTGGGTGCCGTGTGTGGGGGGGAATGATGAATCCAGACCTGTAAGCATGAGGACTTCTGATGGGCATGACGGCTTGTCAGTGTTTTAAATGACTCTGCAGAGAGGTGTGTGGAACAGACCTACCTCCCCAAAGCCCAAGTTCACGGTGCCCTTCTCCCCTGTGGGGGCAGCCGTATTGCGATCTCTAGTAAGAACTGCATGTTTGGTTCTCCCTCACGGGCTCCAACACGGCTTCTGAAACCCGCTGGAATTTCCCGTGAAGAGCGCGACCGAGGCATGCTTTGTTAATGAGGTGACTTGGGGGCCTCACCTGAGGATGGGGGTTGGAGACCAGGTGGGCCAACCAAGAGGTGAGGGGCAGGGGACAGGGGCCGGGGTTTAAACCGTGAACGCCACAAAGCTGCCATCAGGCCACAGAGGATGAACTTGGAGAGTCTGTAGGATTGGCGAACAGCTGTAGATGTTGATTGGACAAGACCTAGAATCCCCCTTACTCCTTCCCTACACCTTGCGTCGCTTCCATTTCCTTCTTCCGAATTACCTTCTTTTACAAAAAAAAAGAACTGGGGACCTTGTGAAGAACATGTTCTTCTGGGTTCTGGGAGCCACTCTAGCAAATTCACTGGACGTCAAGGGGGGTTATGAGAACCTGTGATGTAAACTCCAGTCTCTTTTTGCCTCCGTCTCCTTGACATGAAAACATGCTGCTCCCACCAACGCCTGCCTTCCTCATCCCCAAGATTTCTGAAAGACACCCGGCACTCAGCTTTTTCTCCCCCCGCCCCACCCCCCCATGGCTCATCCACCCTGTTTTCACTTCTCAAGTCCTGACAGGAGCCTTATCTTTCTCGAACAGAGCCCACCAAGGCCGCTGTAGGAAGACTGCCTCTCCCTGGCTCTCCTGAGCAATCTCCTGCCCGTAATGGCTTAGAAACCTCTCCATCGGCAGCCCGTAACGCCTCCTTCTGCTGGGGGCGGCAGTCCGTTAACGAGCTGGAAGTTTCCAGGCCCTGATGATGTTGGCTGGCGGCCTGGGTGTGGTCCCTCCTCTGCCAATGTGCCCAGGGCGTGCGTGTGCACTGGAGATGCCAAAGCAAATGCCCTCCGTGGGGCAGCTGAAAAAAACAGAGATTTATTGCTACCAGTCCATGAAGTGGCGGTCAGTGTTGTCCTCTCCTCAGAGGCGTGTCCAGGGCCTCAAACACTTCTTCCTTCTCGTCTCGCAGGCTGGAGGGGCTAAGACCCAGGGGTGGGCCGGGCTGGCCCCTCCTGAGGCCTCTGTCCTGGGCGTGTGGGCAGCCATCTTCCCCCTCACACGGGTGTCCCTCTGGGTGTGTCTGTGTCCCCATCTCCCCTTCTTGTAAGGACCCCAGTTTAATGGCATCAGGGCTGCCCTGGTGACCTCATTGCACCTAAATCACCTTTGAAAAGATCCATCTGCAAATGCAGTGCCTTTTTGAAGTCCTGGAGGTGAAGGCTGAACCATTGGAATTGTGCAGGATAGAATTCAGCCTGTCAAAGGTTGTTAGCCACTTTATGACCAACATACAGGGTTTACTCTTGTCCATCCGCAAACTTTTTAAAAAAATATTTTATGTATTGTGTTTAGAGAGGGGGGGAGGAAGGGAGAAAGAGAGGGAGAGAAACATCCGTGTGTGGTTACCTCTCATGCGCCCCCTACTGGGGACCGGGCCTGCAACCCAGGCATGCACCGTGACTGGGAATGGAACCGGCAACCCTTTGGTTCCCAGACCCATGCTCAATCCACTGAGCCAGGCCAGCCAGGGCCATTCGCAAACTCGTGTATCTTTAATCAGGACACCTGTTTCTGTACATATATCTTAGGCACATGAGATCACTTCTGTGTGTGCTATATTTTCCGTTTATATCTATGCGCGTAACACCTACTACCCAACCAATCCCAACTTCTGGAAATAGCGGCTATCAGTACGCACGCCCCCTTGCGAACGCGTGTCCTCACATCGTGGATGCGCCCCAGCAGCTTGGTGTGCGCCCCCGCAGCTTGGTGTGCGCCTCTGCCCATGTCCTCCCCGCCTGCGCGCCCCTCCCGGGGGTGGGGGCAGGCCGGGAACCTGCCCCCACGCTCAGGCCTGGCCTCCCACGCAGGTTCTGGACGTGCCACGACGAGCGCTTCCTCTACATGCTGATGGAGTTCGTGCCTGGCGGCGAGCTGTTCAGCTACCTGCGCAACCGCGGCCGCTTCTGCAACAACGCGGGGCTCTTCTACTCGGCCGAGATCGTCTGCGCCCTGGAGTACCTGCACTCCAAGGAGATCGTGTACCGGGACTTGAAGCCGGAGAACATTCTGCTGGACAAGGACGGGCACGTCAAGCTGACCGACTTCGGGTTCGCCAAGAAGCTGGTGGACAAGTAAGTGACCGGGCTCCCCCAGCCCCCGCCCTGTCCCTGATGCGCCCAGCCGTCAACATGCTCCCTCTTCTGCAAATTCTTCCTTTCCTTTATATATATAATGAAGATGATACAGCATTTGGCTCTCTATCTGGCTTACCTCACTTAGCAGGGCACTTGCTCAATCCCTCCAGGCTGTCTCGAGTGGCTGGATACTAACCATGGCATCTGTCTACCACTGTTTTTCCATCTGTTCATCTGTCACTGGACAGTGAGGTTGTTTCCACACCTTGGCAGCTCCGCATCAATGCTGCCATGGACTGGGGTGCGGGTGTCTCTGCGAGACCCCGTTTTTATTGCCCTCTTTTTTTTTATAGCCGAGCGGTATTTGTGTTGTGCAAATGTGCCGTAGGTATTTTCTCCGCTCACCTATTCACGGGCACCGGGGCTGCTTCCCAATCTTGCCTATTGTGAACCACACTGCAGTGAACATAGGTATGCACACATATGCTTTGAAATGAGTCTCTTGGTTTTTTTTTTCCCCCCAGATATATAGCCCGCAGTGGAATCGCTGGGTCAAAAGGCAGTTCCATTTTTCATGTTTTGAGGAAATTGCATACTGTTTTCCACAGGGGCCGCCCCAGTCTGCCTTCCCACGGGCAGGGCACCAGGGTTCCCTTTTCTCCACAACCTTGCCAGCACTTGTCGGTGTGTGGGTGCACCGCACACCAGTCTTGCCGGTGTGCGGTGACGTCTCTCAAGTCAGCTCTTTTTAATTTAACCAAAATCTGGAAGTCCAGGAGCTCTAATTCCACCCTCACTCATCCCCCACCACTTTTTTTTTTTTAATTTCATTTTCAACAGACAGTCACCTTCAACCCTGAGGTCTGCTCAGCCAGTCCTCCTGGCCCACCTCTGGGGCAGCCCCCCAAAACCACTGTGTTTTCTCCTTGTCCCTTAATTGCTGTGAGTTACACTTAAAGTTACTTTATGGCCATAAACAAATCATTTTTATTGCATATTGCTGAACGTGTTCCATATCACCCTGGTTGAAAAAAAAAACATAATATGAATGTAAAAGTAGTGAGGGCATGTTTATGTATTTTTTTTTAAATCCATGTTTTGGTTTTTATTTCTTATAATAACAAAATACCAAAAAAAAAAAAGGTCCTGTTCGTGGATACGTCATTGATTAGTTTCAGTGTTTTCTTATATATAAAAAAAAGTATGGTTCATGCACTGTGCATAAGTATTTACTTCTGTTTCAGATTAATCCTAAAACTGTAATGTAGATTGAACTGTATAGTTTCTCCCATCATTCAATGTGGACTTCCAGAAATGACATTATCGGGACAGACGTTTTCACCATGGTCAGCACCAGAGAACTGGTGTTCTGCAGAATAACAAACATCAATAAAATTTTACATAGTTCAGTATGAAATATCTTTTGGCTTCATTTACCGCTTTGTTCAACTTGGGGGAAAAATGGCTATGAGCACTGTGTCGAAGTACCTCATATATAATGTCGATTATACTTGACACTGGGTATTAATATATTAGTTGCAGGCGTATAACGGAACCTCCCAGTGACATATGAGCAAAGGGCATAGAGCAGAACATTCCAAAGCCCCTCCACCGTGATAAGTGGGATCCCTTCCTGGCACGCAGGGTTGGTTCGATTTTGCAAAATGAGTCAGCGTGATGGACCGTGTCCACAAAACCAATGGTTTCATTGATTCTTCATATTTTAACAGAACACTCTTCATGTTTTAAATCCCATACATATAAGCCAGGAGGACCTTTTCCATGAAGCAAAGGGGGTGTCTTTGGGGGTCCAGACATTTATTTTCCAATGCCATTCTAGAGCTTTGGTGCAAAGAGATGAGAGAGAGAAGGAAGGGATTAAAACTAGAGGAAAGAAACAGTCTTCTTTGCTACCTTGGCATTTCCTGTCTCATGTCACATGTTACTTTTCTGTTACTAGGTTTGTCATTGGACGTCATTGTGCCTTGGTTTATACCATTGCTTTTCTTGTCGTTTTTATCCCATAATATAATGGGAGCCTTCTTTCTCACGCCCCGAGGGGCTCACCAAATCACAGAGTCCTACTAGGCATTGAAGACAGACACCCCCAGGCAGAGCCGTATGGAACGGTCTGGTTTCTGATATCACCGCACCTGCTGACAGTAACGCGGATTCAAAAATGGTCGCTCTGGACAATCTTACTCATTTATGTTCTAAAATTCCGGTCTTTCTAGAGCGCCACTGCCTAATACAAGTAACCTCCTGGGTTACTGAAAATTTTCAACGAATCTCTTTTTTACTAAGTAGCACAGATAATTTTACTAACGTGCCACTTCCATTCAACATATTACAAGGACAGTCATTTCAGTCCACAATCCTGATAAAAGTTGAGAGTCTCCATGCATTTTGGCTGCCAAGGTTTTGGAACTGCAGGTACATTTCACTCTCCCAAAGGTACCCGAACCAGGGCCCTAAATCGGTATCAGAAACACTCAATGCCTAATATTTACAGCCGCAGAGGCTGACGCACCTGCGCAAACGCTCCAAAAAATCTTCAAACATTTTTAGCGTCTGCTTCACCCATTGCTTTGTCAAGTTTTCAATTAATATAGTGAGGTTGAAATATGAGTTTCTCAGTGCATTGCAAGGGATCAGTAGGTACCTATCGGGCCAGTAGGTCCTGAAAAGGAAAGAACTGTATTTCATCACATTGTAGACACACCTGTATTTAAAGGAAACTGAATTTGGGGCAGTTTAATCGTACGTTATATTTCTCTCTGGTGGTCTGTTAGGGGCCATCCCATGAGCCTCTAAGTTCAGTTCACTTTCGTTGTCCCGTATAGAATCTCATTGGTTACATTTCTAAGGATCAAGCAGATAAGAAGGAGGTGTTTTCACTCTGTAGAGAAAAACTCCTTTTTTAGCATTGACGTTGGTTTCAGTGCATCAGTGCTGCCCCCTATTGGCAGCACGTGGTGGAGGACGGACCTTTTATTCATTTTGGCAAAGCACGTTCCTATCCAGTTAATCTGCTTAAGATTCAACAAATGAAATCAGTTCAGCATAAAACAACACGGGACTAATGAACTTAATGAATACGTTGGTGCTTCGGAAAGAAGTGGCCTTATTATCAGCTTGATAGATGGATTTTAGAAGGAACTTTTATCTCCCCAGATATGCACAGTGTGGTTTGCAAAGTTTTTTTTTAGTCTGTTTTTTTTTTCCTTTTCATGTGTTTCGCTTGATTTCCTGAAGCAGCCCTATCTGAGCCAGTTCTCCCCAACATGGGCCGTTCATACAGCCCTTTGTCTGTGTAAAAACAGCGAGACATTTTCTCAAAGTTCCCAGGAATCACGAAAAATAGAAAGAACAAAACACAGAGGCTTCATCCTGAAAAATATTTTTGAAAACACAACTTTGAGAAGCATATTTCTCATATATATATATATATATATATATATATATATATATATATTTAATGCCATGAGGGACAACACATTTCAGCGCGTTGTAATTAATTCAATGCCCTTCTTATTGTATGAACTCAGTTTTATTGGCTCACGGTGACTTTATGGAGAATGCTTTTCTTAAGTGTCTTTTTTCTCTTGCCACTTGATTTTTGCAAAACTCTTGTGTTCTCACGGGGATGTTTCTTATTCTTGTTTGAAACGGTTTTGCATGTAAATGTTTTTCACATTTTTTAAATCATGTTTACTGTTCAGTGACTGTTGATATACATTATACTGTGTTTTTTTTTCCGGCGTACACCCCAGTGATTAGATATTAAATGACTAACACAATGATCGTCCCAGTCAATCTCTGGCCTATCCATAGCTGTTAGAATATTACTGACCACCTTCCCTGTGTTGGACTTCACATGCACCTCTTCTGTAACTGCCGGACTGTGCCTCCCAATTCCTTTGCCTTTTTCTTACAGCTGCTCCCCCCGCTCCCATCTGGCAACTGTCTCAGAATGATGTTTGTATCCATGCGTCTGTTTTTTAGTCTGCTTGTTTAGATTCCATTTTTGATACGTATGTGCTTATTGCCATTTTAATGTTCACCGTTTTGATCTTCTTCTTTTTCTTAGATAAGTCGCTTCGACGTGTCCCTAGAATAAGGGCTTGGTGAGGGTGAAGTGTGTTAGCTTGACCTTGTCAGAAAAGCATTTTTCTCTGCCCTTCCATTCTACACGATAGCTTTGCTGGATAGAGTCATCCAGGTCGTAGATTATTCCTTCCCATCACGTTGAATATTTCTCTCCAAAGCCTTGTGGCAAAGTTTCTACCCAGAGATCAGCTGACATTGTTCAACACAGAGCCGTCCTGAAAGATTAAGGGACAAACTAGAATTATTGCTGATTTTCCAAAATGGTCAAAAGAGGCCACTGAGACTATTTCATTCGATCTCACACGTAAAATTCATACCATTCCTTTTCGGCGATGGTTATCTTCCTCTGCGGCAGACCTTTAGTAGGGATTCTATCGTAGTTTCGTTAATTCGGATGTTATAAATTAAATGCTGTCCTTTGGATTTTTATTTCTGGCCTCCTGCTAGGGATGACATGCAACGTGTATTGCCAATATTCCCCCAATATTGTCCGACACACACACAAAAATATAGACAAGAGTGTACACTAACTCCCTCAATACCCATGACCCAGCTTCCATAGATGGCAAAACATTGGTACCTTGTTTCGCTTCTTGGCCTCCCTGCTATTTGTGTTTCTGGAATTATCTTCAAGCCCCCACCATCCCGTCTCAAACTCTGATACTCTTAACACATCTTAGGAAATTAAAGAGAAATACCCGTCATATCACCTAACACCCAGTCAACATTCCCATTTCCCCCGAATCTCCCCAAAATGTCGTTTCTCCCCCTGCCAGTGAGAGTTGGAATCTTACCCAGGTTGCTACATGGCATTTGGCTGATTTCTCTCGTGGCTGCATTTCATCCATAAAGTCCACCTTCTGACTTTTGCTTCCTCCGCCATCTTGCCATGGATTTGTTAAACGCACTGGGTCACTTGCCCATCAAGACCCTTGCAGCCTAGATGTGGCGGATTGCCAGGTCACGTTGTCATTTTTCTCATTTCCTGTCCCCAGTAAGTCCTGTCAACTGGTGGTTAGATGAAAGGGCTGGGTGAGATTCAGGGTCTGTTTCTTTCTCCCTTTCCCTATTATTATTATATTTTTTTAAAGAAATGGGTGGTGCACTGGGTATTTTTGCATCCTCTCGAGAAGTAGGCACACCTCCCTGTTCGGCCATAAATCCGTGGAAATGACTGTTGTGTGGGTACCAGTGTTACCAGACTAACCTACCCCCACCGGGCACACGTCTGCTCCCATCGTCCACCGCTAAGCAGGCGTTAGATGTTCTGTGTTTATCATTGTCAACTCCATCACTATCCCCACCATCATCACCACCATAATTGCCACCACGGTTCCCACTGTAATGCATGAAATTGTGTCCCTCCAACAGGCCTGTGTCAAATCTTCAACCCCTCCCTCCAATGCCACTGTGTTTGGAGACAGTGCCTTGAGGAGGTCGTAAAGGTTAAACAAAGTCCAGAGAGTGGGATCGTAATCTCCTAGCACCAATAAACCCTGTAAAAACTGGTCTCTCCAACTTCTGAAGGCTTCAAGTCCAAGGCCAGGGTGCTGGCCACGTCCTGGATTTCGTGTGACCCCCTTCTCGGCATGCCCTCCTGTGGCACACAGAGAAGTCTGTCTGTCTGTCCGTCCGTCTCTTTCTCTTTCTCTTTGTCCTTTTTCATAAGTATCCCAGTCATGGATTAGCCCCCTCTTAATTCCGTATCAGCTCATGGCGATGTGATCCCATGGTCTCCCAGACCCTGCCCCCAAATAAGGTCCCATGCACAGGAACTGGGTTGATGGCTTTTGGGGGAACACAAGTCACCCCGGTTCAGACAGCACAGTAGGCAAGTGCGGGACTATGGCCATGAGAGCTTCAGCCATCCTATTTGACAGAGAGTCCCATCTTTCCTCCGCGAACACGGTCCCCCACCCCTGCCGTGGTGGAAGGGATAACCGTGGGCAAACTGAGCACAGCCGTCTCACCTTGCCTTCTCTCCGAGAGCCACACGAGCAGAAGGAAATACGCTCTGGGTCATGTATTATTCACTCCCCACCAGCCGCAGCCTCCCGATGACCCGGGTATGAGTCTTGGGCACACAGGAACTTCAGTCCTGACACCCTTTAAAACCCTGGCTGCCTCCCTGTCCATCTCAGAAGACTGGAGGCTTTGTGCAGGGATAGTCTACCCCAACCAAGTGTCTCCAAGGCTCCCTTAGAAACTGGAAATGGATCCAGGCTGTGCCCCGGACCCCGGGACGGGGCCCAAACACAGACTCACCTCCCCAAGTATAAGCGGAGACGCTTATACTGGAGGCAGGTCCCGTTACCTGCGGCCGCCTGTACGTGTGGTCTCTGATATCAGCAGGAACCAGGCCTCCAGCCAGAAGAAGAAAGACAAAGAGAAGAATCGGTGTGAGAAACATCAGGCCGTCGCCTCCTCTATGCGCCCTGACCAGGATCTGAACTCGCCACCTAGGTACCTGCCCCCGGCTGGGAGTCGAATCCAACCCGCAGTCTTTGGGTGTAGAGGATAATGCTCCAACCAACTGAGATGCTTGACCAAGGGTCTTGTGTTTTTCCTTCGTGTGTTTTGTTTAGAGTGGAGAGTTTGTTTATGACCCACACAATAGTCTATCATTTCCCAGTCTCAACCACAATGATTTGATACATGTGTATGTGTTGCAAAGATCTCGTTAACACGCGCCTCCTCATTAGTTATCGTCCTGTTCCTGGGCTGAGAAATCGTTCCATCTACTCTCTTAGCAACTTGCAAGGAAATGATACGGGGTGAGGATCGAATAATTCTAGTCGCAGTGCTGTGCTTTTTAAGTGGAAGTTGGTACCTTCGCCTTTTTTTAAAAAATTATTTATTTATTTATTGTTAGAGAGAGGGGAAGGGAGGGAGAAAGAGAAACATCCATGTGTGGTTGCCTCTCATGCGCCCCCTAGTGGGGGCCCAGCCTGCAACCCACGCATGTGCCCTGACTGGGAATCGACCCAGCAACCCTTTGGTTTGCAGACCGGTTGCTCAATCCACTGAGCCACAGCAGTCAGGGTGTACCTTCCCCTGTTTACAGGTGAGATTGTGTTAGCAAATAAGCCATGTCGAGTTCTTCAGACCAGCAGCAAATCAGGAAAATCACACACTAGAGCATAAAGCTAAGATATATCTTCAGAAATGTCCCAAATCTATGGATTGGAATCGAACGTCACAGTTCTTTTTAAGTACAGAGAGAATTCTTCTATAAGGAGAAGAAAGGAACTGTTTGTCGGTTTGTTGTGAAAAACAGACCAACGGGGTGGGGATGATCCCAGTAAAAAAACATAGTAACCCACCACCTAAGCAGAAAACCGGTTGGCTCTTCAGAATCTCTTGCTTCCATCCAGCCGTCCTGTAGGTGGGGCTAGAAGCTCATTTTTATTTTTTGCAAATGAGGCCTCACCAGCCGAGAAAATCCTCTCACAAATTCTCTGCCTCCTGTAATCCCCTAACACTGCCTCCCCCCGCCCCCCCCCATGCCCCTTAATGCGAGAAGCTGCCCAGGCCATTGAAACGATGGGGAGCCCACCCAAGCGTTGCTGGGCCTTCACCGCTTTGCTGGAAAACGGAGGCAACAGTAGCAAGTGCCGTGTGCAACAGTAGCAAAGGCACCAGCAAGCTTGCAGCTTAGCTACTCCGATGCAGGGTGTTTGTAAGAGACAAGGCAGCTGGGATAATGATACTGTTTCCATTCAAGGGGTGCGGACAGTGACTTCGTGGTGGTCAGGGACGTTATGGTACCATTCCACGTTCCTTTTTTTTCTTTTTAATTTTTTAAAAAAGGTTTTATTTAATGATTTTTAGAGAGGGGGAAGGGAAGGAGAAAGAGAGGGAGAGAAACATCAATGTGTGGTTGCTTCTTGCGTGCTCCGTCCCCCAAGCCAGCAACCCAGGCATATGCCCTGACTGGGAATCGAACCAGCGACCCTTTGGTTCCCAGACCCGTGCTCAATCCACAGAGCTACCCCAGCCTTGGCCCAGGTTCCTTTTTTTTTCTGCCCCAAAGGAATTTGATTTTATTTGATCCGGTGTTTTTTGGGCAAGGCAGTTATTTATTAACTTTATTTTCAAATGCCCCCCCCCAAAAAAAAATCAGCTATGGCAACCATTTTGCCCAGTTAGCAAAAATATTCAAATATACTTCTGTTTTGTTTGTTCTGAGGGGGGGTCTCTTGGAGGCAGCATATAGACGGGTATTGTTTTCTTATCCATTCAGCTACCCTCTGTTGGTTGAAGCATTTAAACCATTTGTACGTAAACTGGTTATGGATAGGTACGTCACTTAAAATATAGGGGGATGTATCCAAAACACATGGTTTTGTAATCACCGTGCCACTCTTTGGAAACCAGTGCAGAATCATATCAACTGTAAACTGTAAGAAAAATAGCATGTATGTGTGTATATATGTAATTTAAATATCTGTGTATAAGTCCTGGATTCCCCCCCCCCCAATTCTCTTTTATTGTTCAGTGACAGTGGACATATGTACTCAATTTGGGGTGTGGTCAGAGAGTTCTATCATGAATACTTGGTACAGGGGACCCGGTCCTTTGTCTACCGCCGCTGAGCCTTTGGGAACCCCTCTCTCCACAGGACATGGACTCTGTGTGGGACCCCCGAGTACCTAGCCCCTGAGGTCATCCAGAGCAAGGGGCACGGCAGAGCTGTGGACTGGTGGGCACTGGGCATCCTCATTTTCGAGATGCTCTCGGGGTGAGTACCGGCTTCCGGGGAGGGGCAGGACATGCTCCCCAAAACTTCCATCGCCTGCGTACCTCCTCTGTTCTGTCAGCACCTGGATGGTGCATGTGGGTTGCAAATTCTTGGGGTGCGGTTCCCACCCGGATTGCTCAGCGACATCCTTGGCTGGGCACCCTGAGAGCACCGCTGGGTTCCTAAGACCACAAACAGAGAGCAGTTTGTCCTGCCCGGGGACACTCGGGCAGGTACTCGGGGACACTCTTTATCCTGCATCCCAGTGTCCCTTCTTCCTGTCAGTACTTCCCTCTTCTCCGCACGGTCTCTTTGGAGCGGGGTAAGCTCCCAGCTGGATATGCGTACCTCAATCAAAAGTAGTTTAGGACATAATAAGAGCAACCGGGGAAAGAAAAAAAAATGTCTGTTTTTCCGAAACCCAGGACGGGCTGGAAGGTCACAGCGTTCGCTCGTCCAGTTGCCCGAGAGGTCGACCATTTGTCAAGGGGTCCTTGGGGTGATGTCAGGAAGCCTGGCTTTTGGCTAAGGGGGGTCTGGTGCCCTCAACGAGCTGCATAAAGCAAGCTCTCTGCTCCTAGGAACCTTGGACTCGGGGACTCATGCCCATCCTATGAGCCAAAGGCTGTTTCTGGCCTCTGATGGTTCTGCGGCCAGCCAGCCAGCCCGGGAAGTGCCGGCACCCTTTCTGCGGACTGTGGGACGGGCTGCCTCTCTGCCCCTCACACCTGCTCCCCTTCTCCTAGCTTCTCTTCCCTCTGCATGGCTGTTTCCGGACCGTGAGTCTCACAGACACACTCTGTTTAACTCCCGGGGGTATCCATAGCCAGACCTTGCTCTGCACCTGAGCTATGCAGGAAAAACCTGCAGATTTTCCTGGGAAGGCTAGGAGCCTTCCCTTTTTCGGGGGAGAGAGGAAGGTGGAGGGAGAGATTTTTCTTCTGCATGGAGAGGCTGACTGGCCACACTCTCATATACGCAAACCGGGACTCATTTTTCTGTCTATCTGTCTACCATGCATCTATTGATAATTCATCTATCTATCTATCTATCTATCTATCGCTCATTGACTATTGTCTATTGCCTATGTATCATCTATCTACCTATGCATCTGGATATCTGTGTCCACCCACCCACAGGTATATCAATCTATTTATCTACCATCTTTCTCTATCTAAACGTCCATTATCTCAATCATGTCTATATTTTCTAGTCACCGATCATTTATGTCTGCCTATCATGAGTCCACCTACCCATCTACCCATGCTTCTGTCCACCCACCTATCCATCTATTTATCCACCTACTTACCTGTCAATCATCTCTATCATCTCTCTATTTATCCCCCTAAAAGTCTGTGGAACGTTCCATTACTGTTCGCTCCGAGGTCTGTAGCACATCACAAGGACCCCATTCCTTCACGGACACCCTCGCGCAGGAAGTTCCCACTCGGAGACAATGGTCACTGTAACCTGCGGGCCAGGAGACGCTGAAAAGGATGCAGAAGTTGCTACAATGTTGCCACAGGAATCGGCTTCCCCTCGGGCATCCTCCGCTGGCTTTCCTGCTGCAATGTTATCGGCCACTAGAGGGCGGTACTGCCCGCCGATAATTGTATCCCAGGTGCAATGATGTTTTCACAGAATGAGGTTCCCATGCGTTGCAGTTACTGTTTTATTTTTAAGGTACAATATAACGTTACAGAACATCATGATCTGCCATGCTATTAGCAAATACCATCTTAAAAGGCAGTACACGGCTGAGCATCATATTGAAAGACTACAGTAGGAGATTGTGAAATGTTAAAAGGGCATTATCAGAATGATGTAAGGCATTGTTACAATGACTAGGCTATGAATACGATGTCATACACTTTAATATGAGAATATATTATAATGTGAGAAAACAATATTTCTATTATTCTAAGGCTATTTCTGTTCTAATGGACTATTTCTCTAAATCAGGTAGAATATTAGTAATAGGATATTTCCAATCTTTTCCTAGCATGAGAATAGAAAAGGCAACCAGGTACCGAGAATCTGCTTTTTCATTAGGCTCTATTATTAGAATAGTTGATGGTGAGTAATTAAGATTCTCTGCAACCCAGAGCGCCGCACACTGACCTTTGTACTCCCACAGGCAGCCAGCGGCTTGCTCACGGTAAGTCTATTTTCATTAAAGGGGTGAATACGCACCCATTTACTACTGAGCGCATAGTGGGGCTGCTGCCTCCTCCACACGGTGTCTCTGTTTACGCCAAAGTATAAAAGGAACTGATTTTTTAAAATTCATTTATTTATCTTTAAAGGGGAAGGGAAGGAGAGAAGGACAGAAGCATCCATGTGTGGTTGCCTCTCATGCACCCCCTGCTGGGAACTGGCCTGCAGCCCAGGCATGTGCCCTGACTGGGAGTCGAACCGTCATCCTCTGGTTCACAGGCTCATGCTCAATCCACTGAGCTACACCAGCCATGGCTAATTTTTTTTTTAAGACTATTTTATAGCACGTCCGGCTCGGCTGCATTTTTATGTTGATTTAGGATTCCTCATTTTTCTAACTCACCTGCCTCGGCTTCGCACTCTTTCCTTTCTGTAGGTGATATGTCAGTTTTTTATTTTTTCCCTTTCCCTACTTCTCTGATAGATATGTGGAGAGTTACTGTGTATCATCTCTGTATGTGTGTCCTGCTGTTGTCTCAACAAATGACTGCTCACCGGGGTGGGGGGGGGGTTTAAACCACAGATGTTCACCCCTCCCCTTGTCCTGGAGACCAGATGTCTGAGGTCATCCAGGGGTCCCGGGGCTGCGCTCCCCCCACAGGCTCCAGGGAGGGGCCTTCCCGCCTCTTCCAGCTCCTAGGGATCCAGATGTCCCCAGGCTGGTGGCCGCGTCTCTCCCATCTCTGCCTCCATCTCCACGTGGCTTCTCCTCTGGGTCTGGTCTCCTCTTCTGTCCCTTCTCAGGACACTGTCACTGGACGCAGGGCCACCTGACCCAGGACGACCTCCCCTCAGATCTGTCTCTCATCCCCACCTGCCAATACCCTGTTTCCAGACAAAGTCAGACTCCCATGTTGTCAGAGTGAAACTTACGGAGCTCTCCTTGGAGGCCACCAGCCAGCCCCCCTACTACTCTTAGTTGTTTTCTTTCAAAACTTAAAGAATTCACTTGGAAACAACACGAGAATTGTTTCTGCTCATTGAAATGCGCTGTCATTGACACGGATATCATTGGAAAACCCCATTTTTATCACACATTCCCAGTGCTTGTTCCACTGACTTAATGAAACCTGGTTCTCCAGCAGCTAATTAGAGGGTATGCTTTTGAGTTGGGGGTGCTCGCATCTGGCAAATTCGAGAAAATATCCGAATTAGATGCACGTAGGCATATGGTATGTATTTCTTAAGTCCTCAATTTACTTAGATTGTTCTTGTTGACACATGTACGTATATTTCTTCTTTAGACTATTTCTGATTACTATTGTTTTTTATTTCTGGATGTTAGAAAAGACAGGTCTGTTGATTTCTAGAGAACGGTTACAGTCTTTACCTCTGTAACTCTGCCACGGACGATAGCTAAGCCGTGGGTCAATAGTACTTTATTTTCCAAGTGAGGCTGTTGGCTGTCTACCCGCCGGGCCAGACCTGGTTTTCGACCCAGGTTGCAAGCTGAAAACCAGCCTCGGGGAGTTCGTCGCCTCTGGAGGCTCAGGTACTGGCTTCTATAAAGTCCTGGACTGTCCCGGCCAGGTGGCCGGCTGGTTGCAGTGTGGTCCTCCTGTCCTTCAAAAGGTTGCCAGTTCTATCCCCGGTCAGGGCACAAATGTGAGGCAGCTAATCGATGTCTTTCTCTCTCTCTCTCTCTCTCTCAAATCACTAAACGTATCTTAAGTGAGGATTAAAAATAAAACTAAAGTGATGGACTACAGTAGCCAATGACATAAGACACAGTGTCTCCATCCTCTTCCATGTGTCTTGGACACATTTATTGAGGTCCTCCTGTGCGCCACCTATGGGCAGATGAGTGAAGAACACAAAGAGGTCGGTCACGGTCCACTGTGGGGACATTTGTCTGTTGCACAAGCCGCCACATCAGAGCTGGTCACATGGTGTCTTTGTGGCCGCCTGGTCTCTGCCGGGCCATGGGTTGTACAACAGCCCCTTCCCCTGGGTCCCCTGACAGGACTCCCCCAAGCAAGCAAAGGGGACATGTGAGAAAACTTATGTCCTGTCCCCAACGGACCAGCCACAGCCGCCGTCACCCCATGCGGATTTTTCCATCCCCGCCACCTGCCCCCTAAAAACAAATCTTGATGCTTCCGACAGGTTCCCTCCGTTTTTTGATGACAACCCGTTTGGCATTTACCAGAAAATTCTTGCCGGCCGAATCGATTTCCCCAGACATCTGGATTTCAACGTCAAGTAAGTGAAAAGTTTCCTTCGTCTTTGGAACGTGTTTATTTTTAAAGCGTCAGAAAGAAGAAGAAACACATCGTACGTGTGGCATGTGACCAGCAAGAGACCGTGTTGTGTTATTGTCTGTGGGATGCGTTTGAAGTATTTTGGGGCATCTTGGGCAGCTTTTCCAGGGAGAGGGAGGAGGTGTTCACGGCTGTGCTTCAATGATGTTGAACCTGTTATTGGCACCTTCTGATATAAATGTCACTTACCAAGAGCATTTGTTATACTTAACGAGAGAGGCATTGGGGCGTTTCACAGGGAGGGCCCCCCTTCCACAGCTCACGTTGCAGCTGGCATCCGTGGTAATGACTTTAGCAGAGTTTTATCTTTTCCCCGGCTGCCCGAATTATTCTCATTCTTCAAGTCCCTTTTTCACGCTGAGATTTTCGGAAATCAGCAGGCCGCTGCAAGAACTTTTGCATTGCCTTGGCATGAGTATCTTTGAGCGTGCATTTCATTAAAATTCGTGGCAGTGGGAAAAGGAAAAAAAAACTTCAGTTTTTAAAGAAATGTAAGAATGCTGGCCCTGGCTGGGGAGTTCAGTTGCTTAGTGCATCGTCTCCACAGGCCAAGATTGCGGGTTTGGTCTCCGGTCAGGCGGGCACATGCAAGAATCATGCCGTAATGCATCAATAAGTAGAACAATAAATTGTTGTCCCTCTAAATAAAAATGTAAGCATGCTCTTGGTTTTCCAGATACCTTAGCCAACCTGCTCCCCTTTTACCATTTTGTATCCTGAGTCCTGATTTCTAGCTGCACCAGAGGGGCTGATGGGTCCGTTCACCCCTTGCCTATCACAGATGGTGCTAATATGTCTAATTCAGGCCCAAGCTTTGCTCTCTTTTCTGTTCATTTAAAGTGTTCTTAGCAAAAAAAAAGAAAGAAAGAAAGAAAGAAAGAAAGAAAGAAAGAAAGAAAGAAAGAAAGAAAGAAAGAAGCTGCATTTAAAGCTCATCACCTAGAAGGAACCCTGGCCCATGGATGGTGAGATAATGAACTACAAAGGCAGCAATCAAAAGTCTACTTTGTCTTGAAAAAAAATGAACACCATCATGCAAGATTTTGTTCCCAGGGTCCATCTGAGTTGCGTCGCGTCTGTTCACATGGGGAGCAAAGCAGTTGTAAAGTCGAGTTCTCTATTTGCAATAATTACCCAACGATAAGATTAAAAGCTACTCATAACCACAGAGAAGTCTGGCTGTGGGTGGCCCACTTTGGCCACCTAGAACTCTCCTGGGTGCACCTGGGGGTTGTAAAAATAGCCCTGGGTCAGGTGCACTGTGCGGGGGTCCTGCCCACAGCAGGCAGGACCCTGAAGAGGGTCTTAGGCAGTTCTGAAGGTCACCAGATCTATTCCCCTTTGTCTAGTAGGGAATGACTTCACGTCTTCCAAGACTAGTCTCCCCAGCAAGGGACAATCCAAAAATGAGGGCATTCGTGGGAAGGTCGTTTTCGATGAATGTGTTGCCTAGGTTTTCAACGCTTTGTGACGAAAGAAGGCATCGGAGGAATAACCACCATCATAGCCTGGTCCCTTTACCCACCTGCATTGTCATTAGTTTATGTTTATTTTTGTTTACATTCCTCATCATGTATCTCCTTCTCTCTCCTCATTCTCCCTTTGTTTTTTCATTTCTCTTTTTCCTCTCTCTCTACTTCCCCTTCAATATGCCCCCAAAAGAAGAAGAAAAGAAAGAAAGTCCTCATCATTTATGGAGACTCAGGTCCTTCCCTCCAACCTTGGGCTTCCTCATCTCCCATCCGAACAGGGCCGGCTGGCTGTGTTTCGACCCGGTCTGCCATTTAGGGGCAAGATCTAACAAATGGGCCATCAGACCTTCTGGGCTCCAGTGCCCTGTGCCTTAAAGGCAGGCACAGCAAACCAGGGACCCCATAAAGTCGGACATTCACAGGGCACAGCACAGCTGTTCTTGTTTCGGTGAGAGCAGGTGCCTTTTCGGGAGGGACCGCCTGACAGGTGCCTTTTCCGTTCAGCCCCACACGTCTCAGAGCAGGTACAGATGCGTCTCGTCATCTAAGTCCCTTTTTCTGTGCGAAGACTTAACGGGTCTCTTTTCCCATGAGCTGGCTCCCTGTGTGCAGGCAACACAGCATCGCATCAATTATTGGGGGATGGATCACGCTGAAATGGGAGTGGGAGGAAATGTTAAAAAGTGTGAGCAGTCGAACCGTTGTCCAAAGGCATGTTCTGTGGGTCGGTTTCATGGCTGTTGACATCCTCAATTCACTCCGGTCTCCATCATGACATGAACGGCTTTCCTTTCTTTGTCCCCTTTCTCCGAACAGAGACCTCATCAGGAAGCTCCTGGTGGTCGACCGGACCAGGCGCCTCGGAAACATGAAGGTCAGCAAGTGTCCTTGTGCGCGGGGCGGTTTCCAGGATGTGTCGCTGTCATTAATGCCGCACTTGGGATTTGGGGGAAAACAAAGGCACGGTGCTTGTGTTGAATCACTGGCCCAATTTCGGGTCTGGGTTTCTGGGGGCGCGGCATCCAGCAGGGTCTGCACCCCATCTCATGTGCATGTGAGGAAATGATTCCACAGTGATCTACGAGGGATCAGTTGGGTGTCAATGTATCAATCCATGTATTGATCTTCCTGTCATCTATCGTACCTATTCATCTGTCTATGTATCTAGCAATCATGTATTTTCCTTTATCTCCACAGTTATCTGTGTTTTATCTGTTTTTCTGTATGTGTCCTCTGTTTGTGATCTATCAGCCTTGCACCATCTCTGTTATCTAGCTTTTAGTCATTTGTTATCTATCATATATATATGTGTGTATCCATCTATCATCTGTCCATCTTCCTTCCTCTCTGTCCATATCGATCTATCATCTATTTTATCGATCATCTATGTGTGCATCTATGATCTTTCTCTCTCTTTCTCCATATCTATCCAATCTATCTCTCTCTTATATCTTTCTATGTACCATCTATTTTCCCATCTACCTGTCTGTCCACCTGTCCATCTTTCTATCTTTGTATCATCTACCTGGATATTGTAATACCTCAGTATCTGCACGAGCGTTTGAACTACTTGAAAGTAGTCAACTCCAAGTCTTTCTCACCTCCTCTCCACCCCACCTAGGGTAAGCAGTCCACAGGTCTCTGTTGCTGGACCTCGGTGTGGTGGCGAAATATTTTTTCCCAATAGGAAAAGAAGAATTGCCAGAAGGGCAACATTAGACAAAGCTGGCAACAATTCACATCACCATTTCGTAGTTGTGGTAATGAAGAGTTTTCTGCTTTAAGGAAAAACATTAAAACTTTAAAGATGAGGAACAGTTACTGAAAAACCTCGCAATTGTTTGGGTTTGTTTCTACACTGAAGGAACACAGATTCTTTAGAATATTTTACCTCCTGTCCCAACCAAGTCCTGTGCCCTGAGGATTCGTGTTTCTTCCCCAGAACGGAGCTGATGACGTGAAACGTCACCGCTGGTTTCGAACCCTGGACTGGGAAGCCGTCCCACAAAGAAAACTCAAGGTATATAATAGTCATCCAAGGGCACCCTCTTCACCTGGCATTCTGAGAAATGGTTACAAAATCCTGAGCCCACAACTTGTTTATGGATGATCCCTCCTTAGTTGGCATGATCCGACCCATCATTTGGAGTTGGTCGTAAGCCACGTTGCCTGTTCAGTGGGCGTCTTGGGCGGGGGACTGAAGACCCCAGGTTTGGCCATCGGGCTGTGGGACACCCTGGCTCGGCGGCCGTGATGAGATAGCTTGTGTCTGGGGGAGAGGCTTGTGGGTATTTTGCGTGATGATTGCAGATGAGATAGAAAACATTCTGTAGAGTGTGTGGTTGACAGGTTTCGTCATAGACGGCCCTCAACTTTGTGCTTCAAAATGCAAGGACAGGATGTGACACTTGGATGCCCGGGCTCCAGTCTGCACCGGGGGGGTCAGCCCACACCATCCACACCATGAGGCCGCATGAAGTAACAGACGAGGGTGGATGGACCAAGCTGCCAGTGCTCACCATGTGGTTTTAACCTTTGTGTCTCGGCCCACCCCGTAGCCCCCCATCTTGCCCAAGGTGTGTGGCGAAGGCGACACCTCCAACTTCGAAGCCTACCCTGACAGCGACTGGAACACAGCTCCCGCAGTCTCTGCCAAAGAGCTGGAGATGTTCAAGAACTTCTGAGGACGCCAGTCCACCCCGGGAAGGTACGTCTGCGGACTTAGCAATTTAAAAAAAGCAAAACAAAACGGGCGAGGTTAATACAAAATACAAAAGGTCTCTGGCAGAATGGTACGCCCGAGACCTATATAATTTTTTTAAAAAGTAAAATAAAAATGAAAAGGAGGGAGGTAGACCAGATCCCTCGGTAAGGGGATATTGTGTTCATGGAGTAGAGCTTCCTTCTGGTACAGCGTGCATCAGGGAGAGACAGTCCTTCCAAGTTCGTCCTGTAGAGACCCCAGTGGGCATTACTCGGTGTGTGTGGCGTGGCCCCAGCGTATCAGCCTGTCCTGCAGGGTCCCCATCCCCAAGGAGGCCAGACTTGGGCAGAACCTGTGTGTCAAAATCAGACCCCTTGGGGGTGGTATGTGTGTGTACATGTTCGACAGGCACGGCTGTTTTGGGGTGGTCACAAATCCTTCTTTCTTGCATTATAAAAACCATGAGATTCAAAGCGACTTCCTGACAATCCTGACCGGTCCTTTTCAAAACAATTTTTGGCTGCCTTTTTGTGAAAAATGAATCCTAGGAACCCTTGCGAGACTTCATTTGAGATTTTAAAGAAATGATTTTGGGATGTCGTTGAACTTTTCGAGATCTACGGTTCGATGACCGTGACCTTGAAGGGCAAGTGTTTATGCTATACTTCAGAGAAGTAAAGATACTTCAGATCTTTACATGTCTACCCCAGTTAAATAGCTCTCCCTTCCTTTAACGTTCAGCCGAGAAAACTTCCCCACGAAGACAAACACGCCACCGCCAATGACATGTTTAATCATAGACCTGTCTTGTTTTTCCCCACGATTATTTCCCCAGTAGCAGGTATGAGAACCAGAAAAATAATCTCACTGTCTGGCCAACACCGCTTGTAAAAAACCCAACCAGTGATGGGTTTTAAAAATCACAAAAGCTCCTCGGATCTTTAGAAAAATAGTTTTTCTTTCTGGTCTACTCAGATGCTCCGATTTTGTCTGATTTGCTTGTAATGTTTTATGATTGTTTTTTTTTTTCAGTACTCTTTAAGTGGTTAGAAGACTTGCTTCCTTTTTATCAATGAAGAATACTTCATGGATAAGCCAAATACAGAGAGCTTTATTTCCCTAGTCTAGATATTATGACATTTCCTTAAAGACACAGGAGACTGCCCTTTGTGCCTCCTACTCGGTGAATAGTCTTTCATCCTGTGTCCCTAGCTGCCCTATGAAAAATTATGCCTGTGGAAAGAACCTTTCTCAATGGGGTATATCTTCTTGGGAAAGTGTCTAAAGAGCATTTTCCCTGGTGGACTCGTTTTTAATGTACTTTGTCCAACAGTGAACACAAGCTTTGAAGGCGTACTTCAAGAATAGCTGGGAACCAAAACACCGTTTCTTGATCACATGGCTTTCCATGTATTCAACAAATCTTGATGTTGCTCTCTTCTTGGAAAACCCCACTCCAATCATATTTTAATCTTCCTCACTCCCTTTTCTGATAATAATTTGTACATGGGGCAAAACCAAGACCTGCTGGTTTTAGGAAGAGAGATTACGTGTGGGAAGACCACGCAAGAACGTGATTCTTTTTTTTTATTTTATTTATTTATCTTTTAGAGGGGAAGAGAAGGAGAGAGGGTGAGAAATATCAATGTATGGTTGCCTCTTGTGAGTTCCCCTGCTGAGAACTGGCCTGCAACCCAGGCATGTGCCCTGACTGGGAATCGAACCGCGATCATGTGGTTCACAGGCCCGCGCTCAATCCACTGAGCTACACCAGCCAGGGCAAGAACGTGATTCTTCATGAAGCCAAACCCCGCCCCGTAGATGAGACCGAGTCAGCGTGAGCACTGCCCCCCACGGATGATGAAGAAAGGTGGACTTCCCTGTTGGTGTCTAAATTACTCTGCACGATTTTCAGCCTGTTGGGGAGAATGTTAGGGCAGCTGGCCAGGAAGAGGAGATACCTCATTTTCTGTTGTAGTGGCTTTCATCACTAAGCACTTTGAAACAAAGACCCAGTTTTGCAGGAGCAAAGAATCTCCTAGTGTGGATAAGGATAGCATATAAACATGGAAAGCCCCCATTTCAAACACTGCTCAAAAACAAAAAAAGGAAAGAAAAGAAAAAATAAAACACTGCTCTTGTGAGGCAGGACTTCCCTTTGGGGATCTTTGCGATAAGAAGGTCAAAGTCGGTTGGGTTTCTTTGGTGTGATTACTTTTATCACACCGCTTACTCATACCTTAGAAACTAACCATATTCTCTGTCCTCTTTCCCACCAGACACGCCATGACATCAGCCTGTGGGGGACAAAGACATCGAGCTCCGCAGCCTTGGGGACCCCCTGCAGATGTGACTCGGATCGGACCGCCTTGTCTCCACCCCCATGTGTACGTAAAGGAACTGGAAGCCACACTGGACATTCACGGACCTCACATTATTTAAGCAACTGGAAGTCAACGGCACAGGAGGGTGATGCGAACCATCACTGGGTTGTAGATTTTACATTGTCCTCCGAGCGGGTTCCTACTGTGATGATATCCGGTTTCCTCGGAGTCTCAGCTTTATAAGCTGGAATCGAGAGTGCTTGGTGATAACCCCAGATTGTGTGTGCGTGTGTGTGCGTGTGCAACACCCTGTGACAGAAAACGTGGAGACAATGTTCAGACTTTGCACAGCCGATGATGTTCAGTTTTCCGTTTTCCCCCAAAACTGCTCTCTTGGGAACAAGTCCTGAAAAGGAGAATGTGGGTTGCATTTCCTTCATCACCTTCTGTGCATTTGTGAAGAAAATAACCCCATGGCAACCACACAGCTGCCATCTGAAGTCCTTTGTATCTGCTGATAGGAGGTGTTGGATTTTAATCCAGAAGTAGCCAGTGGCCATGATCGTTGCCCAAGGAAACCAACACAGTCAAAAATCTCCTGTATCTTCCCAAATTTCACATGGCGCGGGGGAAGGCTACCTATAAAAATTCTAAAACCTACCCCCCTGCCCCCAAAAGTGGCTGGATATTGGCTCCATGGCATGTACCACCTTCCCTCAGAGATTTTCTTTTCGTTTTCACGTTGGGGACAGGAACAGACAGATGGCCGGCGAGATGTCCACATTGGGTGTCGTCCCACCGGCTGCCCTCATTTCTGCTCAACTCCTTTTCTCCTCGTTCGGGGTCGAGTTGAGTGTGTTCTACACACAGGGGTCTCATAGACCGGGCAGGCACAGAGGAGGTGCAGCGGGTGAGATTTCTTCTCCTTGGAGCCGATTCTGAGCGTACGTTGAGGAAGACCCTGCCAACTCTCCCCCGTGAGATTGACTTTCCAAACGCCAGAGCTGGGTTGGCCACCAAGTACATGGGGTTCGATGCTAGTCTTCCCCCCAAACAGGGCACTCGTAGAAGTCCTTGGTGTCTCCATGGCCCCTAATTTATTGTCTTCTCCACCCTTCTGCTCCGTGATTCCGGACTTTGCTCTACACACCTAAGCAAGCTGCCCACACGGTGTCGACCGGGCAGCTGGGAAAACAGTGTTGCCCTCATTGCTGTGTATGTGGTCTGATGGGTGCGCCATGACCTCCTCTGTGGAGATGTGACAACTGTGTATTTAAGGAGTGGCTTCTGGAGCCTTCCGTGACAGCAAGGTCATACCTCTAAGACCTCTTCTGTCCCCTCCTCCCTTTCCGCTCAGGTCTTGTCCAGACAGGTCCAGCCTCTCCTCCAGCAGCTGCAATACAGAGAGTGTGCCCAGGGGTGAGGTTGGTGAAAACAGGGGCAGGAACACGGAGGGTTGTGTGCCTTCTTGAGTGTGTGTGGCTCAGGGGTGTTCTCAAGTCACCTGGCGGTTCTTTGCTGTCCATGCTGTCTTTTTTACCCCAAAAGGCGTGTCTTCCCATACCTCCTGCTACCTCCGTCTTGCACACACATGTCAAGCAACACGACACACCACCTGTTCACAAAGTCATGCATCGTCTTTCAGTCACACACACATCGAAGGCGGTGCATTGACCGGTCAGATTTGGGCAGATGCCACTCACGAATCAGAAGGCCCCAGGTGTATTTTGAAGGGGAAAGGAAGACACCTTGCATCTCTGAAACTGTAACATTCGACAGTAAACGTGAAGATGCTACAGGTTCCCCCTTCGCGGACAAGACCTGTGAGACGGGACCTGTTCTTCCAACAGAAGTAACTCGGGAGGTGAGCTGCAGTACAGAACTTAGTAAAACAACCTCTTTGCCATGTGCAACTCGATGAGAAATTATTGCCAAATGGGTTCTGTGCACATGTTTCTTACAGAACTGTGTGTTTTCCCTCTGGACTTCTCAGCCATCGTCCCGTGTGGATTTTGTGGAGGGCTAGCCTTGCCTGAAACATCAGCCATCTCTAAACCGTTTCATTATGAAATGATTGATTAGACTGGCAAGGTGATTCTCTGCCCTGACTTATCCACCTAGGAAAAAAGGCATATCTCACACCTCCTTACTATAACCTAAATTATTATTATTATTATTATTATTTTATTATTATTATTATTTTACTATTATTATTGTTATTATTATTATCATCAGAATCATTTTGGAACCTTCTGCTTAAAAAATTTTAAAAAAATGAATGAAAGATTATTCTTGAATACAATCAACGCATTTGCCATTATGCATATTCTTAGGCTTAGCACTTATGGTCCAGGATTGAATAACTGGAATGGAAATAGCATCAAAGGAGCATGGCGTGGATTGCCTGATTTTTGAACAAATTTTGAGCAAATTGGGCGAGAACCACAGATGTGTGGGTGCACGGGTACCGTTGCCCTTTGAAAGCATGGTCATCGGCCACCTGCCGTGTAACACAAACAAGCAAGGAAAAAAATTCCTGAGAACACCTGATGCTGTTAAGACTCACCTCTGGAAGTCTTCCCCATCTTCCATGTCACACACGTGGTGTGTCAAGCGTCCGTGGCGAGGTGTGACTTAAACTGTGTGGCGATGAAAAAGCCGATTTAATCAAAATGAGTTCCCAGCACGTGGGACACTCTGTGCCTTTCATAAATCATTCAGTGGGTTCGTGCTGAAATGTACATGCCTGTGAGCATCTAGGATCAGTGTGTGTGGATGAAGTTTTAAAGCCAATTCATGGGAGAAATCAAAATTCGGCTCAGGAAAAGTGATAGGTTGGTTTCATGCCAATCCATGGTGTGGCAATATTCGCCTACATGAAAGTTCTTCAGGGTTTGGATCTAAGCCAAGAAGACTTCTGTTTAGGTGGGTCTTGTCTTCTTGCTGAAACCATCACTCCTGTCTTTCATGAGCACCTACAGGGCTCAAAAGGAAAGAAAATCCCAATGGATTTTACACAGCATAGCATACATTTGTACTGGCCCACTTGGAACCCCTTCCCTACAGAAGTCAGAATCCTACTCAGTATGAAAATATTCTTGCCCAAAATGGCCACATAGTGGTGGCCGCTGTCAATGTGACCGATAATGCAAAAAAAAAAAATCCAGCAACAAGAGACCACTCACACCCAGGAACCCACCGCACAAAGTGTCTAGAACGTTTCGTTGCATTCTACACATCTCACCTTCCAGACCAACGTGTTACCAGTGGCAGAACCCTCCTCACGCTAAGCACGTGTGTGACGTGACATGCACTTCCCATTTCTGCATCCACCTAAGTTGCCTCTGCATGTTGAAGCATTTTAATGGTTAGTAGGTGCCCCATGCTGTTCATTGAAAACCGCAGCACAACTCTCCGCCTTCCCATTCCTGACGAATGAGTCCAACCAAAGGGGGATGATGGCCGCCTACGAAACACGCAGAGCCAAGCACAGGAACAGGTGTGTGAGTAATGGATTTGGATTGTGCGTCTGTGTGTGTGTGTGTGTGGAGGTGAACTGCACGGGACTGTCTCTACCAATCACACCCTGGTCACACCAAGTTGGCTTTGCAGACCGGGCAGGCTTGCCTCCGAAGCAACAAGCCCTTTCCAAGCAGGAACATGCTCTGTGATGATTTTCGATAAATTATTGCTTTTCAAGATGTTTGATTTTGCTCTGACTTGCTGTTTCACACTGTGCACTTCTGTTAATTTAAGCAAAAGGCATTACATGTCTGTTTGATTGGATGGGATGTGAAGCCATTCGGTGCCCACGCAGCCTTCGCCTGGGCCCTGTAGCCTTGCTTTTTCTCACACTGTGCTGCGGGCCACCCGGCTGGGTTGCCCTCATTCCTCTAGGGCCCAGGGGCTGCCGGAGCGTGCCGCAGACAGGAGACAGTGCCTTTGTTACCCGCGGCACACCCCGGCAACTTGCCCCCCTAGGGTCCCCCTGCCAGGGTGTCCCAGCTTCTCTCGTGGGGGCGGAAAGCAAACTGTTTCCGTTCTAATCCGTTCAATTCCTTGCACAATGAAAATCACTGTGATCTGTATATATATCTCCTCGGAAAATTCTACTGCTGTCTAATTTATGAAGTAATCCTGTTGATTCCAAGTTTGTCTAATAAAGACTTTGTATCTTTTACGCATTCGGAGTGTGGTTCTGCGTTCGGCGTGGCCAGATCAGCTCTCGCTTCTCTGCTTTTTAACCAGGGGTCCCAGTAGTTTTCATTTCGTAAATTTAATTTGATTTTTTTTTTAATTGAGATACAGTTGACCTGTAACATTCCATTACTTTCGGGTGCACGCAGGATGATGAGTAGACAGGGGTATGTTTTGCCAAATCATCACCATGTTAGATCCAGTTCACGCTCATCCCCACACGGAGTTGTCCATTTTCTCGGGGTGAGAACCTTTAACACCTACCCTGTTAGCGACTTTCAAACAGTCCCCATATACTGCACCATCTCTCTATCCATTTCTGTAAAGGACCAGATGAGTGACGCTGTGTCATCGAGACCACAGACAAGGGGGACACTGTGCCTTTGCCATATGACCTTGAGTAAGTGCGCTGGGCACCTCGTGTGGATTCGGGCCATTTCTGTGTCACAATGCAATGGCCCTTGTAGCGTTCACTAGCACCTCGGTCAAGTCCCATACTCGTCATTTTGCAGGGAGGGGGTGGCAATTACTCAGCCAGTTTGATGATGATAACAGAGTATTGCTGCCTGTATTTACTATACTTTCCATTACATTTCTAGGACCTAGGTATGTGTTAGTTGCCACGGTAGACCCTTCAAACAATACTTGTATTCCTTACATCCTAGATCCTGGGGATCATTTTATTCTTTACTTTTATGAGATTTTTTTTATTAGATCGTACATGTAAGTTAGATCACACAGCACTTGTCTTTTTTATGCTTCTTTCGCTAAGCATAAAGCCTTCCAGTGGCATGCATCCCTGTTGTTGCAAATGGCGAGATTTCCTTTTTCATGGCCGAGTAATATTCCATTGTATATATATGGGTCACTGTTTCTTTATCCAGTCAGTTGTCACCGGACACTTAGGGTTTTGGTTTTTTTTTTGTATATTGTGAACACTGGGCTGTGGTATGTCTCTGACATACAAATCAAAACCCTACCGAGGCACCGCCTGACACCTGGTAGAATGGGTACAGTCACTACGGCAAGAAATAGCAAATGTGGGTGGGAATGCAGAGGAAAGGGAACCCTTGTGCACCACTGGTGGGATTTTCAGTTCGTAAAGCCACCCTAGAAGGCACTATGGACCTTCCTGGAAAAAAATAATAAAAAGCCATTAAAGATACAACTACCCTGTGACCCAGCAATTCCACTGCATGTCCACATCCAACCTTAATACTTAAAAATACTGTGAAATAGGATATCCACCCACTTGAAAGGTAGCGACACGGAGGCCAGGACGGACTAACTTATTTACGCAAGACCTCACACTTAATAAATCTCGGGGCCGAGATGTAAACTCCATCTGCTCCTGCCCCTTCCAACGAACCCATGAGGGTTCAATTTAAAAACTCGGGGAAGGTACTCGGTGAAGAAACAAAGAAGCAGATTGCCAAGGTCCCAAGGAGCACGTTGGCAAAACTGGCCGATGCCAAAGACCTACAATGAGGACACTGAAAAGAGGAGTGGGGAGCAGAAGGCCCCTTTTTGAGGCCGAAAATCAGGATGTGCTCATCCTGGTGAAGCAACCTCTCTGAGAATCAGATTTTATTTTCCCGGGCACATTGCCCTTCAGAACCACAGCCAGCAAACCATTTCTTAAACCTGTGAGGCTGCAAACTCAGATACTTTTTTTTTTATGGTGGTTAAAAAATAAAATAAAGTAAAGTAAAATAAAATAAAATAAAACCCACGCACCATGAAATTGGCCCAGGGAACAAAATGTGACTACACAATCGAGTGGTGTCTGCTATAAGGAAGCACTACGTTGGCCAGCAGGTCCCTCAAAGTTACTTCTTTTACTTAACCAACACGTCTTCGCCATGGAAAAGGGACACCTCAGTCCCCTCTCCACCGCTCCCCTCGCTCCCAGTTTTGTCTCAAATTGGAAAAGGAGGGGGCGGCTGACCGCCTGGGTCTCCTGTTTCATGGGAAACGTTTGCCGTTCAAGGGCGTCAGAGAGAGCAGGCCCCGGGTTTTCTGATCTCCTAGACGTCTGGCTCTCAGCCTGGTTCAGACTCAGCTTTATCAGCCCCTGGGGGGCCATGTCTCCGAGACCCACTGGCCGAAACACAATTCTTCATAATGAATCAGAATGTGTGTGCAGCCCTTTCAAACCGGCGCCTTGGAAAAAAGGGAAAAAAAATGTGTGTGTGTGTATATATATATATATCCAGAAAGGGCAAAGTTTAAAAAGTGATGTCACAGTAGGGAGTGAACAGAGGGGATCTGGCCAGCAGAGGTCTGAGGTGTTACAATTATTTTCCACCGGCTGCATTTTTTCTCGAACTGATGAGTGACGGCCACAAGGCCTCAAAGACTGGGGTTGGGGGGGGGGGGCGGTTCATATTGTGAAACATACTTTGAAGGCCCTAGAACGATTTATTGTATTGTGGACGAATGTATAGACATTTTTTTCTTTTTAATGTATTTTTAAAAGATTTTATTTATTTGTTTTGAGAGAGAGGGAAAGCGAAGGAGAGAAAGAAACATCCATGTGTGGTTGCCTCTCGTGCGCCCCCTACTGGGGAAATGCCCTGCAACCCAGGCATGTACCCTGACTGGGCACCGAACCTGCGACCCTTTGGTTCACAGCCCACCCTCAATCCACTGAGCAACACCAGCCAGGTGTCTTTTCTGTATTTTCACTTCCTATCTCTTCCCAACACAAGCCCCGACTACCCTTTGTACTGAGAAAAGGCTGCCTGGTGGTCTAATATGGGATATTTATGCCTCTTTTACTACATAATCTTCCAATTAATTGGAGCTGAATCAAAGAGTGTGTAAGCCAGGTCTTGCAAATATTTCCTGTGGCCAGCATGAGAAATATATTTGGCATATTTGGGAGAAACTCACAAGCACACATACCTAAAACCAAACGTGAAGTCCCCAATCCTAATTTGCAAAATTAATGGCATACAAATCGTGTTCTCAAATATGGCTTTATTAACACAAAACTGAGCGCTGGTGGTCTGGCTGCCTGGCATGGTTGGTCGGAGCATCATCCTGTGCACCCAAAGGTTGTGGGTTTGATTCCCGGTCACAGCTCATAGGTGGGTTTCACGTTCCATCCCCAACCAGGGCGCTCTGTCTCTCTCTCCCCCCCTCCCCCCACTTCCTCTCTGTCCCTAAAAATAAATAAACATCCTTCAGGGAGTGGGGATTAAAAAGAGAAAAGAGCCCTCTGGGTTTTATTCCAAATTCTGTTTGATTCCTGGTGAGGACCTCCAGAATGGAATACATGGGTTTTGCTGACTATTTTAACAAAAATGCTTTTCTGAGAAAAAAAAATGTGCCTGCTCTGAACGTCTCCTTTTCCCCGTGGCTGGTGATCTTAACACGCAATCCCACACCCGCGAGGGTCCAGAGGAACCCGGCCGGCCCCCCTCCGGCGGGATCCGTGAGCGCAGGTGCTGGGTTTGTTTCTTTGCATTTCCACGGTTCGCCCTGGCACGCGCCTGCCTCCTGGCCGCTAGGGCGCGTCAGGGCACCTTGATGGATGGTGTGCCGAGGCAGAGGTCACATTTTCCCTTTCTCCACCTTTTTTTCTGCGCCTCTATAAATTTGCACTTGGACCAAGGAAAAAAGAGTGGGTCCAGTTATTTAATTTTTTTCTTTTTTCTTTTTTTTTTTTTGCAAGTGCTGGGTCAAAATTGTCTTTGCCAGAGCAGTTTGCCATTGGAGTGTTCGGATCTGCGCTGAGATGTGCTGGCGATCGCTGGGTGGCGGGGAGACAGGCAGCGCCCCCTTACGCTGAACCTTCCTGGTTCTCCCCGAAGCAGCTCCGGGTGATGTGCGCAGGCTCCGGGTCCCCTGTGTTCTCTTTCCAAAGGGGGAGCTGGTGGGGCTGGAGGTAGAATTGCAAGTCTAGGGCGTTGAACTATTTCAGATCAGAGGCGCGGCTGCTGTGGCTTCCGCTTGTCCTGGACCGGTACGGGAGACCCTGACGTTCTAACCCTCCACCCCTGTCTCTTCCTTCCCTTCATTGACTGAATTGGACTCTTTGCTGATATTTTTGGGTCTTCACTGAAAATCTGCTTTGTTTTCTGCACATTAAAAAATATTTTTAAACATTTCTTCTTTTTAAAAAAATTACTTATTTTTTTTAGACACAGGGGAAAGGAGGGAGCAAGCGAGGGAGAGAAATGTCACTGTGTGGTTGCCTCTTGCGCGCCCCCTACTGGGGATGTTGCTCACAACCCAGACATGAGCCCTGACTGGGAATCGAACCAGTGACCTGTTGGTTCACAGGCTGGCGCTCAATCCACGGAGCCACACCAGCCAGAGCTAAAAAATATATATTTTTTAAAGTAATAACGGATAATTGTCACTCCGAGCTCCCTATACAATGGTAGATTCCTGTTTGCAGGCAAAATCAATGTGGATAACTCACTTAAAAATGCCCTTGTCCTTGGAGAAGCATAGGGAAGCCCTTCAGTTTGTAACATTAAATCTTTCACGTAACTTAATTCCCTAAACCAGTTTTAAGGATTATAACATTTCATTGGCACTATTTAACATTGTAAATGGTATACATAAAACAAGGAAAATATGTCAGACATCACACACATTTAAAACCCTCAGAACCGTGGATAAGTTGGAATTACTATGAATAGCGCCCATGGTTACACAGGCTTCATGATGGTGTGAAAATATATAATACTCTCGATCCAGGTTTGGGTTTTTTTTATTGTTTACACTCAGCCAGTTCTACATTCATAAAGGATTCTGAGCTGATCACAAGCTAGATCATTCTCCTAAAGAAACCGCAGGGTTACCTGATTCGACCTTTACCTGGGCATCAGCCAGCGTCGCGCCCTGCTAGGGTTGGCCCCGGGCTGTGCCCCGGCTGTTTGGCCCTTAGTGACCCCGAGATTCCTGTTCTGCTCACGCTTCTGCCCCTCCCGACAGGAAAGACATTTGCAGGACACAACTCAGGTGAGTGTGG